ATCTGTCGGTTTGTTTGTGTGAAAACATTTCCGATGTACGTGTGCGGATGGATGATGATGATGATGATTTAGGGTCATCTACGTGAAATTGAATTTATATGCGGTAATAAGAGTGTGTACGTATGGAGGATGCGGTCGTTTCGAGGAATCGAACAGGAAAAATATTAGTGTATTGGCAGTAAAAATGTTAATGGTCGAGAGGCGTAATAGTTTCGGGTTCGTTCCGAGATGGGGCCGTAAAATGTGTATGAGCAGACGTGAGGGTGAGATGGAAAGAGATGGAGAGAGAGGAATAGGAAAGGGTGGCAAAAGGGCCTTCGTCTCCACCGGTTTTATGAAGTTAATGCGATCGGGGCCGACACTTGGCACGGAGAGAAGGGAAAATGGAAAGCCGGTCCGGCGTTGCTCAAGGCACGTACGACGCGGACGGCCTTTTCGGTTTCGTTGCGAAGGGTGGAGGTCTTCAGAGATGATGATGATGACCAGAGATGACCAATTAGTTAACATCCTCGATGACTCCGCTCTTTCCTAACGACTTTGCCCATCGCATTAACATCGAGGACTCGTAAGGATTTCTGCGATGTCTTTCGGGGAGAGGATTTTGGATGGTAGTTTCGTAGGGATGAGAAGACGGTCGGAATATTTTGCGCGCGAGATGAGGGGGACAGCATTATAAATACTCATAAATTATCCGGTTCGCGGAGCCGCGTTGCAAGCGAATAAGGAAGAGTTATTTCGGCTTTTTAACTTGGTGGAGGAGGAGGAGGATGAGGCGTAATGGAAAGGAGGCGCGAATGCAAGAGACATTTGCGTTATGTATACTGATGATTGAGGCCGGGGATCGCGCCGTATGCATACTAACTACGCGAAACTCGGAATGGCTTTTCGAAGGGCAACCAACCAACCCTCACTTCTTCGTTTCTTTTCCTCCGCAGACGGCGGAGACATCCATCTGCAAGAGGTGGAGGAGTAGGATATGTGAGCAACGCGAAATGAAGTTTCGTGCGACGTGTCGCCACGTCAGCAACAACATTCCCTCGCTCCAACATCTTCTCCTTCTTCTCTTCCTCCACGCTTTGATCTTGCTCTGCCCTTGTTTTACAATTTATTTAACCCCGTCTCTCTTTCACCCTAACTCCATTACATTCTCCTCTATTTCCATCTTTCTCTCATTATTGATACAACAAATTCCAAGCAAACGTTTCCGAATCACGTTCACCAAACACGCAACTTTTTATTTGACTTTAACGAAATTTGCACTCTGCGAAATTAAAGTCCGTAATCTCGTTACAATCCATCCAACTTTCACTACTTGCCAATTCAATTGACGTTTCCTTCTTTAAGTTTAAACCTGCGGACCAAAGACGCTGTGTGGTGGCGTGCCCTCGCAACTTTGAAAATCGAGTGGCGCCATCTTCAGTGGTCTCTATGCAACCTTAATTCAAACGAAAGCAATATACCAAAACATAACCTAAATATTTACCGTCTAAAGTGTGAGCTTCGTTGCGTATGGTTGTGCCATCCATATTCTCGACATTTATTAAATTTAAAGGTGATATTTTACATATATAATTTACTTATATATTATCTAATATTACTATTCATTGCAAATTATACAATTACATAAATAATTGCAGGCTTCTCTGTAAATTTAGCCAACTAAATGTTCATTTATATCATTACAAGTTCGGCACCACATATATTAGTTAATTATTTTACAACTACTCACTAAATCTATAAATAATGTATTGAAATAAATAAAAATTACTAATATATGCTTATCCTTACATTCGTTATTTCCTGATTAGCTAATGTTTAGATATTTCATATGTCTCTACTAATTAATTTCTAAATTTTGCAGAAGAAATTACAGAATGAATCAAATATAAATCAACAAGTACTTGAGTAAGTGGGTATCGAACCTACTCAATCCAGCATGTAAAAGTACCAATAAAGTCAGGAACAAAAAAGGATATTTTGTTGGAATAGGCCCTACTCAATTCAACCCCTGTAAAGTATATTGGAGAGGTGCAGTATTTTCAGTACAATATCTGTATTTTTGTATATACATCCCGGAACTGGACAAGTGTATCTCCTTTCTGAATAGTTATATTTGTTTACTGTTGTACAATACATTTTAAATATACACTTACTGGAGTTTACTTGTAGTTCAGTTTATTTAAATCCTAAATGAAATTCTAAATAGCCTAAAACAAATTAGTGAAATTTATCCCACCTTATAGTCCTCGCAAATGTTCCTTCAATCAGACTGGAAAGCTAAAATAAATTAAATATATCCAATGGCTTAACTTACAAAACAACCTTGGGAATAAAGAACTAAAAGTAAATGTAACAAAGGATTTTATCGCCATCCTACTAATTTAACAATACTCACTAATTAATAGACTAATACAAGTCTTAAGAAAGACTAAAATGTTTAACAGAACAAACTCGGTTAAAAGTAGTCAAGCAGTCGCGGATACAAATATAAATAGTGCGAAAACGTTAAAACAATAAAAAATATTTGATAGGATAAAGTATTTTTTTTTTATTATTTTAAATTTCAAATTATTTGGCGCTATGTTATGTGCGTTATGTGCTCTCCATGTACTAAGGAACGCCACCGCAGTGGCTATACAACACTGGTTGTAACGCAAACTAATTTAATATAAACACTAAATGAAGAGTAAACAAAAATTGTATACAAACATTGAAAAAACAAAAATTATGGAATCATGAGTGCGAATATTTCAACAAGTACTGATTATTTTACCAAAAGATGGCGCTAGGTATAAATTTGTGCGTTTTTTATTTCCTTCAAAATCACAGATTAAAAATGTCGTCTTCCCATCTTCGCATTGGATCGGAGGTTTCAGAATCGGCATCCGCAACCGCATCCGGATCCTGAGGAGGAAGCCCAACTCGGCACTTCCGGCTGATTATTGCAGGGACACGTCTTGAAGAGGCCCAATGTACTAGCAAACTTCTGCTTCATCTGCTCGATGGATTCGGGACAGAGCTTCAACTTCATCGCGGTGCCGCAGACGCACCACGGCGCTGGCACCAACTGCAACGACGCCATCTACAAACAGAAAAGTTAAACAAACAAAAGATACTAAATGTACCGAACTTACCGTAACGGCGAAGCACACCAAAACGATTGTAGCAAAAACAACGAACTTCATAATGATTCTACGTTGATTGTGAGTAAACGAATGGATTTATTGGATTCGTTTAACTGATTTTATAGTGGATCGAAGCACGCGTGTTCATCGGGAATTATGTAAACAATAGAAGGAGGCTTGAACTTGACCGTATAGAAATGCAGCCTTGCTACGTTCGGAATCGTGCGGTGCAAGCTCAGCAACACAAATTGAAACCTTCAATGTTTACGTCCCAATTAGCTCCGGTGTCATTGCTCCAATTAATTAGACCAATATTGAGCGTACGAATCGAATCAAAGCCTGAAGACAGACCGAGAGCAAGAGAGAGAGCTTCCCCATCATCATCTCAATTAAACGAGAATTACATCCAATCTCTCAACACTTTACTCGAAACCGCATCCAAACGTTTTATTCATATTCCCATCACTTGTTGTTGGGCCAAAAAAGTTCGCTCTTCCAACGTTTTTCCTTACTTTATATATATATATTTTTTTGTATTCTTTCCTTCCTCGACCTGCGACACGTCCCCAATTGAAATTCTCGCATCGAAATTGTTTAAACTTATTTCTCTCTGAAACTCGTCGCTCGGAAAGTTCGTCTGACTATGTACACGATATATAAAGAAAGGAAGAAAGACATTGCGAATGCGGAAACGGAATCGCTGATTATTTGCGGATAACTCTTCTTTTTCGCTTCCTTTCGTCCCGCATTTCCGTTCGCTAAATCCAGTTATTCTCGCTTTGCAACGAAAATATATTACTTATTCGTGAAACGCAAATACAAACTTTGTTCAAAGATTTTCAAACGTATAACTCGTCCTCCTCCCAGCGAATCTAATCTTAATTGCAATTCAAGAAGTTTTAGTTTTGCCTACAATTCTTTAGTTAAAATTCCCGGGACTGGAGACAACTGCGTTTAAGGCATTCCCGGGAATCCTCGGGAATTGAGAAATTTATAAAAAGTCGTTTCATTAAACATTCAGCAAATAAAATCTTTGCTGGTTTTGAATAACCAAAAAAAAAAAGTTTCTGGATTATGTAGTGCATTTAACATTGACATTATTAACATTGTGCTTGTGTTTTCATTGTTAATTTTTTAAAAATGTTTCCTTGCTTAAGAATGATTGATGTTTATTGTTTTAAGTGTTGGGAATTCCCGTTTCAGCAACCCCAGTGTAGACGGAATAAAATTGTAAAGATGCGCTTTATGTTTGATTCATGTTTGCAGTGTGGGAAATGATGTTCGTGTGTGATGATGGAATTGCTGCGAAAGCTGAGAAGGAATTTCCCAAAAGGCGACCTCTGGTCGTTACGCGGATATTGGACGAAGGCGGAAAAGATGTATATATAAAAAAAGCATAAATTTCAATCTCGTTTTCGGAGGTCGCATAAAAATAAATGCATAAATCGGGATGAAGATGAAGACGCACACATATATACACAGGAAGAGGTATAGAGAAGGGATCTCCGGAGAGAACAACCTCACGTTGCGTTATTATGTCCGACAATCCATTTATATGCAGATGCGAGTGGAGAGCGCAGCTCAAAGTAAGATGCAAGATTTATTCATTAGCATATTCGTAGGACGAGAGAAGTGAGTTTGAGGACGAGACGAGACGAGACCGTCTCTGTGTGCGCGTTTGAAGTCGTGTGCGCGCCTCCTTAAATTATTCATAACATTGTCACCCCATCATCTAAAATGTATCAGCAACAACAACAGCAGCAGCAGCAACAGAAGCATACGCAAAACCCAAAGAAAACTAATTACACCAAACAAAGTTCAATTTTCCTTTTTATTTTCCCGCTCGCATTACATCTCTCCTTCCTCCACGTAATTTCAATGCACCGACAGATGGCTCTGGTAGCATTTGCTGGACCACATGTTCCCGTCCTCGTTCTTGATGTCCTTCATGAATTTGATGAGACTCGCGTTGCTCCCGGAACTGTCCTCCTTCTCTTCCTTAACACCGCCGCCTGCACTCGACTTGCTTGCTTCCAAAATATCCTTGAAATACTCGACATCATCCTCATTCTCTTCATCCCCGTTACCATCCTGGCACTGCTTAACCAGATTCTGCAAAATACTGTGAACCTGCGTTTTATTCTCGAAAACGAACTCGACTTTATTCGCTTTCGCTTTAGCGCTTTTCGCCTTGACGCGTTTCGGTTCTGGGATCGGATCGAATTTAACCACTTTCTCCTTTTGGTGCTGCGACTCCAAAGTCACGCAAGATTTGATACGTTCGAGCTCTTGCTTCAACCTCTTGTTCTCCAACTCGCTTTGGATCCGCTTCGCCATCTCCTTCTGCAGCTCATCGTGCAGCGTCAAAACGTCCTTCTTCGCATCCACGATGGTTTTCGCCTTAACGTTCTGATACTTATCAACCTTTTTGTTAATCGCCGTGCAGGTCTTCATCCGCCTCAAAGGAAGCTTAGTGGAACTGGTTTTTAGAGGCACCGATCTGCTCTTCATGGGAATCAACTTAGTTGAAGTTGTTGATGTAGTCTCATGCACCGAACCTTCCGGATTCAGAGTCGTAGCCGTGTAACACCATTGATATTCGCTCTCGTAACCAAACTGATGCTTATTCCTCAAGATGTTCAGTATCCTTTCAATGCTCTTCGGGGATAACTGATCGTTAGCCCTGAAATCAGCCACTTCCAGAGATCTGCTATAATCGATAACGTCGATCAATCTAGGTAGAATGCTTTCGCTTATTCCGCATCTCTGCATATCCAAGGCTTTGATCCACAGATCATCGTCCAACTCGTCCAAAATATAAGTTAAACCTTCATCTTTGATGTTCGGATTATTGTTCAACGTGATCCTCTTCAGTCCAGCCATAATCCCGACCTCAGGATCCTCGTACCTCAACGAATTGTGCCAACTCTCGCAATACCTATTGATCTGCTGAAACTTAACCACTTGAGCTATGTACTGAGCACTCAAACTACCCAATCCGCAACCGGTGAGATTAAGCACTTCGATATTAGGCATCTGCTTCAACGCGTTGCACAGCAATTGACATCCCAAATCCCGCAAAGTGCAATACTTTACAGTCAAAACTTTAATCGTCGAATTCTTCTTCAGAGCCTCCAGAAGCGCCTCAACGTGCTCGATCCCCAATGGAATCCCATCTAACTCCAAACTAGATAAAACATCGTTCCTCCTCACGCAATTCGTCAGCGATTTCACCAAACCTTTCAAAATGTATCCAGTGTACAAAGATCCGGCCCTCCTCTTCATATGCCTCGCCTTATCCTCAGTATCGACATCGTGCAAGAACTTGCATTGAACTTTACTCCTCACCGCAATCACGTGTAAACTCGTATCCAGACGTAACGCGTTCAATATCGGTGGCCATTCCTCGGGTTTAACTCGATCGCACACGAAATCCAAGATAGTTTCGCTCTTCGGTCTCGCCGGTTTCACAATGTTCAACGGTTGCATGTTCAATCTTCTGCAGAGTTCTCCGTACCAGACGTAGAAGATGTTCACCGGTTTCGGGCATTCTTTGCTTTCGCTGCACGAACCGCACGGCATTTCTTTCACACAATTTCACTTCCAATTAGAAATAGGTTTACCTTCGCACTGGACGCACGAAGAAAACTGTTAAAATCCCTTAAAGTTTTATTTTTCTTTTGTATTTTTTTTAATGAATCGAATGTAGTGACTGCTTCATCTGACATAACAAAAAAAATAATTGTAATTTTTTCCATTTGACTTTGAACAACTGCGATTTATATTAATTTAAATTAGAAATTAAGTTTTAAAGTAAATTAATTGATTTTTTGACAAACCTAGAAACAACTTATGTTTGTTATTACTAATTGAAATGTTGTAAAGAAATTAACAAATTGAATGGAAAATTGTTTGTATGAAAATGCTGAAGAAATGATAAATACTTGTATTAGATTATTTTCGAAGGGGAAAAAATTTTCGCTTTATTAGCTTCTGGCTTATTATGAAAGTTTCCGTTTAAAGTCGACCCATTCGAAGGAAACTTTGCGCAACGTTTTAGTTATATCATCATCGTCATCATCTGCCATTCGTTTCTTTCCGAAGACAATCTTCTTGTTTTTGTTGTTTCGACCCCCAGGATTTTCGTCCTCAAAAGAATTTGCTTACATTTCAACTGCTGCTGCTGCGTGTATTTCCATCTTTTCCTTTTCTTTATTATTACTATTATAGACACACACACACACACAAAAAAAGGAAGAGAAGAGAAAAAAAAAAGTATATATGTGAAGGTTGGTCCACCCATAAAACCCTTCTCCAAGAGTGCTGTGCGCGTCCCGTGTAACTTTTTTCATTTTGCCGAAGCGGAGTAAACATTTACCGTTCATTTCTTTCCTCTGCACTCGGTTTTTATCCTTTGCTTTTCTTTCCATTGGCTTCAGCTCCATCCCCCATCCAGTTGCGCCACGCACGTAACGACAAACAAAGATATGTTGCCAGTTACCCACGGGAACATGGAAAACCGTTTAGTCCGGGCGCGCTCGCACACACACACGTATCGAGCAGTCGTCTCAAACAGAGGAAGAAAACAAAAGAGAGTGAAGAAAAAAAGAGAATGAGAAGAAAAAGGGGAACAGCATGAAAAATGCTTCGGTTCCAAATGCATCCACTCTGCAAGGGAAAAAAAAAAGAAAGGGGGCTGTGTAAAGTAGTGTGGCGCTGACTGCGATTTTGCTTTCATTAAATTTGGGAATTGCACTCGAATTGTCCCTAAATCACGAATAAGCTGCAAATAGAATTTTCATTATTTACTACGAATTTATTTTACCATTGAAAATCATAATTATTGATCATCAATTGTTATTTGTACATAGCAACCATATAACATACTTAGCAACATCCTTAGAAACTGGATTAGTAACAATTATAGAATTATGTTATCAATTGTCATAGTAACCATGTTAGGATTAGGAAAAGCGTGCTTAACAACATGAGTTAAAAACTATACAAATAATCATCATAATTCATAAATCATAATTATTGATTATCAACTGTTATTTGTACATAGCAACCATATAACATACTTAGCAACATCCTTAGGAACTGGATTAGTAACAATTATAGAATTATGTTATCAATTGTCATAGTAACCATGTTAGGATTAGGAAAAGCGTGCTTAGCAACATGAGTAGCGTCCTTAGGAACGTGATAGATTTAGTATTTGCTATCTAAAAACTATACAAATAATCATCATAATTCATAAATCATAATTATTGATCATTAACTGTTATTTGTACATAGCAACCATATAACATACTTAGCAACATCCTTAGGAACTGGATTAGTAACAATTATTGAATTATGTTATCAATTGTCATAGTAACCATGTTAGGATTAGGAAAAGCGTGCATAGCAACATGTGTAGCGTCCTTAGGAACGTGATTGATTTAGTATTTGCTATTTAAAAATCTATACAAATAATATATAAAATCGACTATTATTTGTACTTAGATTATTAAGAAATATGGATTATTGTTACATAATTAGTACATTGCAGCAGTAAAAAAAAGTTAGGTTAGATTATTAAAAAATGCTTATCTGCGAACATTAAAACAATGCCTTATTTGGGAATTAAAACAATGAGTTTCGCATATTTGTACTTCGATTATTTAGAAATATGAATCATAATAGTCATGGAAATCGTAGTAATTTGAATTGACAGCTTTCAAAACTGTTACATAAGTAGTACATTTTATACATCAATTAGTATATTTTATTTAAATCAACAGCAAAAAAAGTTAGGTTAGATTATTAAAAAAAAATGCTCATCTGCGCACATTTAAACAATCCTTATTTGGGCATGCAAACAATGAGTTTCGCATATTTGTACTTAGATTATTTAAAAATATAGATCATTGTAGTCATGGAATTCGTAGTAATTTGAATGTGACAGCTGACAAAACTGTTACATAATTAGTACATTTTATACATCAATTAGTACATTTTTTGTTTTAAATCAACAACAAAAAAAAAGTTAGGTTAGATTATTAAAAAAATGCTCATTTGCGTACATTTAAACAATCCTTATTTGAGCATGAAAACAATCAGTTTCGCATATTTGTACTTAGATTATTTAGAAATATGGATCATTGTAGTCATGGAAATCGTAGTAATTTGAATTTGACAGCTGTCAAAACTGTTACATAAGTAGTACATTTTATACATCAATTAGTACATTTTATTTTTTTTAAATCAACAGTAAAAAAAACTTAGGTTAGATTATTAAAAAATGCTCATCTGCGCACATTTAAACAATCCTTATTTGGGCATAAAAACAATCAGTTACGCATATTTGTACTTAGATTATTTAGAAATATGGATCATAATAGTCATGGAAATCGTAGTAATTTGAATTTGACAGCTGTCAAAACTGTTACATAATTAGTACATTTTATACATCAATTAGTACATTTTATTTTATTTTTTAAATCAACAGCAAAAAAAAGTTAGGTTAGATTATTAAAAAATGCTCATCTGCATACATTTAAACAATCCTTATTTGGGCATGATAACAATGAGTTTCGCATATTTGATTAAGCGATCGTTTTAAAAATAAAAAAATTATTAGCGTCCTTGGCAACATAGATCATTATAGCCATAGTAACCATAACCGAAGTATTTTAAATTGACAGCTGTCAAAAAACTGTTATATAATAAAAAAAAAAACAATTATGATTTAATAATAAATATACAAATGATTGATTCATGTCATTTTATTGTTTTTTTTTTTTTTAATTTTCGAGTCGTGTTTTCATTTGCGTTGTAAATATTATACGACTGAGCGAATTGAACCAGGTGAGTGTGTATGTGTGCGAAATTGTTTTCGATTGTCAATCGTTTTGAGCGCGGCCGCCACCCCCGATTTTAACACACGTTTATTCAATTTTTTTTTGTCAGAACAAAAACAAATGCAGTCGCCACCCCGCGCCCCAAAAACTATGCGGCCAATTTTCCCAAATGCGCCTCCAAATTACGCGCCATTACTTTAATTAACGCAGCCGCCTGTATGCAACAAAACCAAAACCCACCCCACTTCCATAGGGCGCATTTAATGGGAGACCAGAGCAGAGCAGGCGTTGAAAATAACAGAACGTTAATTCACCCATGCCATTGCCTTCAAGCCGAATATTGTAAATTAATATACATACAAATATATATATACAGACAAAAGCACGCAAACGCATAAAATACACATGAGGTTATGTGTTGTGTTGTGTATATTTGTCTATCCCGCATGGAATACGCGCGCTCCATTTTCAATAACAAACTTAAATTGCAATCATCACGTTTGATTTGATCAATGGAAATTCGTTCGCGCGTTCGCAACCGACCTGAAACAAAAACATTTAAACGTGTGTACACACACACACACGTAATTCACGCAAACACAGCAACAACTGCGAACTAACCGTTGCCATTAGCAACATTGCGACAAGCATTGCTTTTGTTATCAGCACAATAACATTAATTAAGTTAAAACCTAATTGAACGCACTTAATTATACAATTTCGACAAACAATTCAAATAACATTTGCTCATTAAAAATTTGCTAACTCGTCGCATTTCATTATTTCCTACACATTTTCTTTTTAAATTTTTCTATTTAAAAGCTATAATAATAACACAGTAAAAGGTAAAGACATTTATTTTTTGCAATTACAACTTTATTTACATTTAAGGGAAAATCAATATTAGTTCATTAAATTGTTTAAATTTTTTCTTTTTATGAGCATCATTTAGTATGTTCAATATTGAATCTAAATGAATAGTTTTTTTTCTTTATAATTTATTTAAGTTGATTGAAATATTTGTGGAATTTATAAAACTGTGAAAACAAGTAATTAAAGTTGATGATTTTTGTGAAGCAATAATTAAGTGCGAAGATAAAGGCGACATTTAGTAAATGGAGTTTCGAGCAGTGAAGTTGATTATAGAGAAAAGGGGTGGTAGAGAGGTTTGGTGGCAATATGTGTCAGAGATGTAGGACGATTTGTTGTTGCAGACGATCTTTGGCGACGTTACGCGGGAAGTTAAGTTCTTCGGTCCTGAACTGAAAAGAAGGATGAGGGTGAACGCGGATGAAGAGGATGAGAATGTGTAGGAACGGGGAGAGTTTCCAGATACTTCTTCAGATTAATGCGTCTCCGTTGTTAAATACGCCGCGGCCCGTCGCGTAATACACTCGAAACTTGCGCCGATCCGAATCGATGACGAAACTTCTTCCGCGCAATTAATCCCATCGAAGGAGAACGAAGGATAAGAGAAAGAAAAAAAAATTGTGTAGGGTATAAATTTGAGGGATCAATGAAGATCTGTTTGTCTTAGGTCTCGTATTTATATTAGTGCGCGAGGACGAAAGATCTGAAGCGTCACGTACATCTTTATTTAAACGCGGGACACAACACCTCCTTTTCTTTTTTTTCGGGGATCATGCAATTTCCAATTTAATTTCAAGGAATTTTCAACGAATGATATATATTCCTTTTCTGCACGTTCTCTTCTCCTTTCTTTCTTTCTTTCTTTCT